GGCCAGTGTTCTCAACTGCTGAGCCATCACTCCAGCCCCAGTTTTTTTTCTTACTCATTGTGATCCTTTCTTAGAAAAAAGTTAAAAATAGAATGAAGGACCATGTCCATCATTATCAATACATAATTGAATGCTCCCTATACACACCATCAATAGTTTAATCATCTTTCCTGTACTTACATAATTAGTTATATAAAGGAGAAAGAGGGAAAACAATAGTCAAAACTGAAGGCAGATTTATAGATATGAGGTAGATCACTACTCTGAGGAAAAAAGATAAAGAAATAATAAGAAAATGAGTAGATCACTGAATTTACTGTAAAAAGAATCTACTGTAAAAAGGGGAAGATATAACTGACAAAAGGTAGACTACTGAATCTATTATGAAAAGAAAAAAGATAGAATATGGATATGGTAAGATAAAAAGGTCAATTTTTGAATCTACTTTTAAAAAGGAACTACTTGTTTAAAATAGGATAAGTAGTGAAATTTTTTGTCTGAGTATATCAAATGTTAATGGACTAGACATCGTTAATGTAATTCTTGACTATATTGTATATACTTACTGGATAGTTTTTCTTGTATTAGTTATAAGCTTTTTTTTTTAATTTTAGACAAAAAAAAAGGGGGGGGGGAAATGTGATGGTATTGTATTCCCCAAAATATTGTGCACTCTATTAAACTTATCTGGGGTCAGAGACAGAACAGCCACAATATTAAACATAGAGGTTAGGCAATGGTAGCACACGCTTTTAATCCTAGCATTCCAGAGGCAGATAGCCATCTGGATCTCTGTGTGTTCAAGGATACAGCCAAACATGGTGACTCATGCCTTTAATCTCAGAAAGCGAGCCTTTAATCCCAGGGAGTAATGACAGAAAGCAGAAAGGTATATAAAGCTTCAAGTCCAGAAACTAAAAGCATTTTGGCTGGTTAAGCTTTTAGGCTTTTGAGCAACAGTTCAGCTGAGACCCATTCTGGATGAGTACTCAGAGGCTTCCAGTCTGAGGAAACAGGATCAGATGAGGAACTAGTGAGGTGAGGTAGCTGTGGCTTGTTCTGTCTCTCTGATCTTCCAGCATTCACCCTAATACCTGGCTTCAGGTTTGTTTTTATTAATAAGACCTTCTAAGATTCCTGCTACACAGATTGGAATATTAAGGGAAGTAACAATAAAAAAGAAGCTCACCAGGTCTGTGTCACCTTTAATCTCAGCACTTGGGAGGCGTAGATGGGCAGTTCTCTGAGTCCAGGCCAAATAGGGCTACATAAATGGCATACTTTCTGCCAGGGAGGCAGCATTACTGAGGACAGGCCTGAATAAAAAGATATAGTAAAAATGCACCAAGTTACCAGTTGCTTCTTAGTTTTTATCTTCTTGGTAAATAAAGCTTTGAATTTATTAACAAAATGATTACAGTACTCCATTATGTTTGGTCCAGTGTTGAGTTGATCATTCACTGCTTACCAGTCCATTTTCATACCTCTTGATTTTATTTACTCACCAATTATGAATTGGCCTGGTTCTCTGTTACCTTAGAGTGGTTATAGTAGTTTTGGATAGTAAAAGCTTGTTTGGAAATTAACTAACTAATAACCTGTGTATTCTGACTGTAAATGTTGTGAGAGAAGTTGTTTAAAGTAAAATACACAAAGCCTTTTAGTTTAGGTACTGAAGATTTAACTTCATGAGTAACTTAGTCTGAAATCATGTTTTTGCCAGTCAGCAAATCACATGAACAGTTCCCTGCTATCTCTGTATCGGAAAGGAAACCCTGATTCTGTTTCAAACACTCCGAAGTTGGAACAGAGAGAAGCCACCACTTCAATGCCATTACTGACTTCTAAAACGGGCTCCATGCCATTGAAGACCCCTGCCAAAGAATCTGAGGGAGGATGGTTTATTGACAAAACCCCAGGTGGAAAGAAAGAAAGTCTTCCTTCAGACCTATCAGATGACCAAAGCAACTATAAAAAGCCAGATTCTGAGGTACAGGTATTTTTACAGTGATCATTTAGTTCCATGTGTTGGAGTATATTGCAGTCTTTTCATTGAATGTAGTATAGCTGAAGTTTTCCTGTGTCCACCCGGCTCCTGCAGCCACTCAGACCTAAGTAAACACACAGAGACTTATATTACTTATAAACTGGCCATGGCAGGCTTTTTGCTATCTAGTTCTTATATCTTAAATTAACCCATTTCTATTAATCAAGCAAATACTTATATTTTTGTTTTTTTAAAAAAATCACAAATACTATGAAATATATAGAAAACATCATCACTTTTTACTGCTTCTGTCGTTATTATCCTAGTCTAGGATCTTTATTGCTCTAACTGTTGAATAGGTTTCCAAGTGGAATCTGTGTCTTGTTACTCTACTCTATTTCACACATGTAGATATCTTTTCACATTGCTGGGTCACTGCCATTTTTGTCAGATTTTAATTTCAATGAGAAATGCTGAGAAACAGTTGTGAGGAGAAGGACCTATCTGACTGAATTAGCATTCCTGCTAGGCCTGAGGTGAGGTGTAACAGCATGGTGAAAGAGCGAGGGAGAGCAGAGCTACTCACCTCAGTGAACCAGGAAGCAGTGACGGGAAGGGACCACGGTTCCAGAATTTGTGTCAGTGACATCCACCACTCTCCAGTGACCCTTTCCTCCAGTGTGGTTCCACCTCCTAATGACTGTTCAGCTGTGAACTCATAAATGGATCAGTCATGATTTTATGATAAGGACGTAACTGACTGAGCCCTATTTGTTTAATTTTGGATTTTGAAATAGGGTCTCTTGTAGCCTAGTCCAACCTTGAAATTTCTGTGTACCTAAGAATGCCCTTAACTTCTGATCCTTCATTTTCACTTCCAAAGTGTTGGGGGTATAGGTTTTCCTTTTATGTTATTAATGGGCCTTTCCCTGAATATCTTTGCTTTAAGCCGTGACTATGGAGAGCACTGTTATAATTGGTAAGAACCTCATGTTTATCTGCATTAAGTCTTTTGGAAGAGATTGAATTTAACTGGTCAACTGGTAGAGCCTGGAAAGAAAGTTATCAAATATTAAGATTTAAGCTGTGCTTTTTTGTTTGTTTGTTTGTTTGTTTGTTTGTTTCTGAAAGAAGGCAGCAAGCATCCTTGAGCAAAGAGGTTGGCAATAGTTAGCAATGCTACAGCACTGTAATTTGAAGTACAGCTTATTTAAATTGTGTTTTCTCCCCAGACTTTAAAAGATTCTTCTCTTCTGGAAAGTGATAAGAAAAGGAAAGGTAGGCCAAAGAGCAAAGGAAACAAAAGAAAGACAGAGGCTCTTCAAGAAGTAGATGGAGAAATAGAAGCTAGTCTGCAGAAGAAAGGTGAGCTGTGGAGAGCAGGAGATGGCAGCAGTGTGTTTGCTTTGAGAGAGGGGCTCACTATTTTGAGTTATTTTGTTTGAGAACCATTTTTGTGTCGAAATACCTACTTGAGAACTTTTTTTTTAATCTAATGGAGCTTTAGTTATGTTTGTATGGAATCACTAATCTTTTCACCTTTTTTGGTTTTCCCAGCTAAAGCAAGGAGTATAGAGTTGCAGATTTCCAGTGTGAAGTTTGAAGATGTTGGAGGCAATGATGCAACATTAAAAGTTAGTGGCAATTGAGAAATGGCATTACATGAGATGGGTCTATTGTGAAACATTTACACAAAATCAGCCGGTTTTTGGTTTTTTGGTTTTTTTGTTTTTTTTCGAGACAGGGTTTCTCTGTGTAGCTTTGGAGCCTTTCCTGGAACTCGCTCTGTAGCCCAGGCTGCCCTTGAACTCACAGAGATCTGCCTGCCTCTGCCTCCTGAGTGCTGGGATTAAAGGTGTGCACCACCACCACCTGGTTACCTGTTTTTAGTTTAAATTAAAAGATGATTTTATGTATCTAGGTGTTCTGCTGGCTTGCATGTATGTTTGTGCACCACTTGCGTGCCTGGTGCCCTCAAGCTAGAAGGGAGTGCCAGATTCCCTGGGACTGGTGTTACAGACAGTTGTGAGCCACCATGTAGGTGCTAGGAAACACAGCCAGGTTCTCTACAAGAGCAGCCAGTGCTCTTAGCCCCTGGACCATCTTTCCAGCCTTCCATCTTTGATTTTTAGTGTGAAGTGAGTACAGAAAAGACGACTGGGAAGGTGAGATGGGCAGACCTGATCCTTGAGAGTGAAGAAAGAATGAAGCTTCCGTTCTTCTCACAGTTTTAGTTCTAGTGTAGGTAAAGTGCATGCTTTATAAGTTAACACCGTTCTGACCGTGCTGATGGGAATGGCTGCAGTTCTTAATGTCTCCTCTGTGACAGTCACTGTGTTAGTTACTTTTCTTGGTGTTTTATGAGATAGACATTTTTACAGCTTAGGAAATAGAAGCATGGAGACAGCATTGAAGTTATTTACACAGTATACCAAAGCTGGGATTCAAACTCAAGTTGAAGCCTAAAGCCTGTGTTCTATCTAGTATATTTTGGTGTCCCCAAAATAGGACATTTAATTCTACTTTGACTCTTTTTGTCTTGGGCCAAGGAAGACATCTTTTATGCTTATTCCTTGACAGGAAGTATGCAAGATGCTCATCCACATGCGTCACCCAGAGGTATACCACCACCTTGGTGTAGTGCCCCCTCGTGGAGTTCTCTTGCATGGGCCACCAGGCTGTGGGAAGACATTACTTGCTCATGCAATTGCTGGGGTAAGGCTAATTGGTGCTGGATTTTGATTTTTTTGTTGCTGTTTGTTTTTCTCTGTGGTCAATTCCAGTTAGACCTGGTATCCTTATAGGAAGCAAATTGATAGTAAGAAATTTCTCTTCCTCCTTCTCTCCCTCTCTTTCTTCCTCCCACATCATCTTCATCATTGTCTTTTTGTCGTTTGTTTGTTTGTTTGCTTTGTTTTTCAAGACAGGGTTTCTCTGTGTAGCCCTGGCTGTCCTGGAACTTACTCTGTGGACCCTGCTGGCTTTGAACTCCATCTGCCTCCCTAGTGCTGGGATTAAAGGTGTGAGCCACCACCGCCTGGCCATTGTTGTTTTGAGACTAGGTTTCTCACTGAACCTGGATCACACTTGATTTGCCTAGACTGGCAAAGGACACTCCTCGTGTCATTTTTCACCCTGCCTGTGCTGGGTTTACAGATGTGGAGCCCCTCTGCCTGGCTTTTACATCAGTGGCATAGTTCTAGACTCAGGTTCTCATGCTGTAAGCACTTACAGACTGAGCCCTCCCCAGCCCCAACTTCTTTTATTGACCTTTTTCATGATGCTGTTTATGCTGGGTTTGTTGTTTGTTGTTTTTAATGAATACAGTTATTTTGTCTGACAGAAATTTGGTGGGAAGTAAAATAACATAAATGCAAAAACTCTTTCTAAACACTTAGTTTACATTTTACTTACTTCTCTTTTCCTTTATCCTAGCTGTTCTTAAAAGCAGCAAAATATGAAAAAATAGTATTATTTGTTTCTTGGAGTTAAATAATTTAAAATTTCTATTGTTAAAATGCCCTTCTAAAATAGTTTCAAAAGATCACTTAAGCATGGTAATGTGCACCTGAAATTTCAGTTTTTGTAGGACTAAGGCAGGATTGCAAGTTTCAAACTAGCCTAGGTTTTAAATTTTGTAAAGTTCTTCCTTGTATGAACTACATTCACCCCTGTACTTACAAAAAGACATTTATTTTGCAGAATAAAAAGCTAACAATCCTGATTGTGTCCTATCAAATTTTTCAGAAACTTACTTCATGGTAAAATGCAAAGTAATCCAAGGAACTTCAACTAGTGGAATAATATATTACTCTAATCATTCATAGAGCAAGCTCTCACTTTTTAAAGGAAGCTTGATTTGTCTTTCCAAAAATAAATTTATTTCATGGTCACTGTATAGCAGACCTTGGAACATAGTGTTTGCGTTCATGTGTTTGGGTAAATCCCAAGATTTCTTTTAAAGACAGTCTACACTGTTAGTTCAGACAGCCTTGAACTCAAACCTTTGCTCTCCCAAGTGCTGAGTGGCTGCTGCAATTGATGGTTAAATCCATAAACTTTTTAGTTTTTCGAGACAGGGTTTCTCTGTATAGCCTGGCTATCCTGGAACTCACTCTGTAGACAAGGCTGGCCTCGAACTCTCAGAGATCTACCTGCCTCCGCCTCCTCAGTGCTGGCATTAAAGGCATACACCACTTCCACCTGGATGACTTTTTTGTTTGTCTTTTTAGGTTTATTTATTGTATTATATTTGTGAGTGTTTTGCCTGCATGTATGTCTATATACTATGTGCATGTCTGGCATCCATGGAAGTCAGAAGGGCTGTGGGATCCCCTGGAGCTAGAGTTAAGACCACCATGTGGGTGGTCATAACTGCTGAGCCCATCTCTTTAAACTTTTAAGTAGTGTTGGTCTTTGTGCCCACACACAAAGATGAAATTCTTTAGATAAGTGTAGAGGCCAGAAAGATGGCTCAAAGGGTAAAGGTACGTTCCCCATGCTTGATGGCCCTGTGCTGAAACCAGAAGCAACATGGTGGAAGGAGATTCCCCATGCTTGATGGCCCTGTGCTGAAACCAGAAACAACATGGTGGAAGGAGAGAACCAGCTTTTACAAGTGGTCCTCTGACCTCCACGTGTGCACAATGGCACATACATGCCTGCACACACATACTTGCATGGATGCACAATAAATAATAAATATATTTTTAAAACTTAAAAGCAATCTAATTTTGACAGGGCAGATTGGCTAAGAAAAATGTAGGAAAGTTAAATTGTGTTTAATCTTTGGTCATTCTTTTCATATTTGTACTCAGGAGCTTGATTTGCCAATTCTGAAAGTGGCTGCACCAGAGATTGTGTCAGGAGTTTCTGGAGAGTCTGAGCAAAAGCTCCGAGATTTATTTGACCAAGCTGTGGTGAGTCAACTGTTTCCTGTGCCCTCTCATCACGTGCTGCATGCTCTCTTAGGGTTGGCTTTTCTGATGCTAGTATTTTTTATCTCACTCTCTGACTTTTTGTAAAAACATCTAGTGGTAAAATTTAAAGTGAATTTAATGATACAGACTCTTGGTAAGTAATCTGTCTCATATGAAATCAAACATAAAGGTAATAAGTTTTGGCCCATCATACCTAGGAATTGAGTGTTCAAAACATCTTGTCCTTAGGATATTTCATTCACTTTGTTTCTCCAGCTTGTTTGACTAGACAACTTGCAAACACTATGAGACTTACCATACTTAGCTTATACAAGCGCTGTGAAACTCAAGAAGAAATGCTTTTGATATGATTTGAGGTATGAAAAGGAAATTCACTTACCAGAGAGAAATTATAGCTAACTACAATTTCTGTCGTTAAATTTAGAAGAGGATATTTGGATCCTATTGAAGTTATAGCTTCAGAATAGTACGGAGCTTTACATGTCTGTGTTCTCATTAAGTAAGTTGAAGACCAATTCAGTGTCATCACATAGCATGTTGGGGAAGAGACCTGTCCACTCTACCCTGTTCCAAATTGTAACCTGTAAATATACCCAGTTTTCATGGGAGTTTCTGAGTGTTTAAATCAGAAGATTCATTTCTTTTCAGATGATGTGTTCCCATGTTGTCTAGCCTGGCCTTGAATTACTGGCCAAGCAACCTTCCTACCTCAGCCTCCCAAATGCTGTGGTTATAGGTGTACACCATCATGCCCAGTTGAAAGATTTCTTTTCTTTTTTTTTTTTTGGTTTTTCGAGACAGGGTTTCTCTGTGTAGCTTTTCACCTTTCCTGGAACTCGCTTTGGAGACCAGGCTGGCCTCGAACTCACAGAGATCTGCCTGCCTCTGCCTCCCAAGTCCTGGGATTAAAGGCGTGCGTCACCACTGCCCAGTTGAAAGATTTCTTATAAAACCTTTAATGTTGTGTCTAGTATACAGCAAAAGTCCTATAAATGACGGCGTGCATACTTGAGCAGACATGCATCACCACTCTGACTAGAACTAAAAAGTGATGAGAAGTTTCTTATGTCGTGTTTCTTTCCCCACCTAACCCTTCCAGATGGGATCCTAAGTAACCCAGTCTGGCCTCGGACTTCTTGTGTAACTGTGGATGATTTTGAACTTACTATCTTCCTGCTTCCACCCCAGGGTTGAAATGACAGTTGTGTGTAAGCACACTGGGTTTAATTTTACCTCTTTATTTGCATCTAAAACATATAACGGCTCATAAACATCACTATTGTAACTACTAGAAGCTGATGTGAAATTAGGAGAGAAATGTATTTTAACAGCAATAATAAGTAACTATACATTTGTAATAAATAATAATGTAAGTTATAAGAATAATTAATTAACTTTTTAGAATCTCACTGTATAGCCCTAGCTAGCCTAGAACATACTATGAAGATTAGGCTGGCCCAAAACTTAAAGAGAGCCAGCCTTAGCCTTGCTGTGTTATGTCCCCATGCCCAGCAAGAAAAATGTTTTCGGATGGGAAGAAGTAGAGGTGAGCTGCTGGGATTGGTATGTAGACTACAGTGAAATGGCATGGCTGCTACCAGGAGGATCCAGAGAAAGGGTGAGAACGACAGTGTGTGCATTTCTCTAAATGTGTATAAACGGTGCACATAGTTGTATGTCTTCGTTTCTTTTCTATTGCTGTGATAAGACGCCACAACTAAGGCAGCTTCTAGAAGAAACGGTTTATTTGGGGTTTACAGTTTCAGAGTTAGAGTTTGTGACCACCGTGGCAGGAAGCATGGCAGTAGGTAGACAGGCATGGCGCTGGCACGGGAGCCGAGAGCTCACATCCTCATCCACGAGCAGAGGGCAGACAAAGCTAACGGAGAGTGATCAGGGCTTCTGATACTTCAAAGTTCACCCCCGTGACACACCTCTTCCAGCGAGGCCACACCTCCTAATCCTTCCCAGACAGTTCACCAGCTGGGAACCAAGTATTGGAATATGAGTCCAAGTGTGTTGGGGGTGGGAGTGTGAGGGGGCATTCTCATTCAGACCGCCATGGAGAATTTTGTATATATGATAAAGACAATGGCAAATACGGATACAAAGATGAATAGCATATTTAGGTCATTAGTTCTGTGCTGAGTGTCTGTAATCTAGAACTGAGCAAGTGCAAGTCTGATTCAGGTGTTGAATAGCACGTGGTCTTATACTTTCTTTCCCTGCCACTTCTTCCATAGTCCAAGTGAATAACATAATCTTTGTCAAGCAAAATTAATTAATTAAAAGTTAATCCCTTCCTTAGGCTAAGTTCTGATTATCATCATTTATTCTTTGCCATTTAGTTTTCCAGGTCACTGACAAAAAATAATGGGTTTGCTTTCTGAGACCTTTGCTCTATACTTTTACTTTTGTAACTGATCTAGCAGTCAGTCATAGGTGCTTTTGCAAACATTGTCATGAGGAAGATTGGGAAAGACAGCCAGTAGTGACAGCCCAAGCATCTGTCACTTTGGTGTCATTTTGAGCTGACATTGTGTGACTTTTAACACAATAAATGTCTCTGTTTTGTCTATGGAGTGACTAAGTATAATTGAGGTTGTAAGCCTAGGTTTTTATTTTTCACTTAATCCTTATTACTTGTGTGTGTGTGTGTGTGTGTGTGTGTGTGTGTGTGTGTGTGTGTGTGTGTCTGTGTGTGTCTGTGTCTGTGTCTGTGTGTGTCTCTGTGTGTGTGTATCTGTGTGTCTCTGTGTGTGTGTCTGTGTCTGTGTGTCTCTCTGTGTGTGTGTGTGTAGTAAAACTGACTGTGTTAGCCTCTTTGTTGTCACTGTTGTTGAGTTAGAATCTCAGTCTGTACTCCAGGCCTCCCTCAAACTCACAGCGTTTCCTCCTGCCTAGGTCAGTGCTGGGATTACCAGCATGAAACACTAGCTTGCACATTATATCCATTTTAAAGTGTACCACTCAGTGGCGTTAAGTACTTCATTTTTTACTTTAAAGTTTTTTACTACATTTATTTATGGTGGTGGGGTGGTACGCACATGTGCCCAGGCACATGTATAAGTCGGAGGACAACTTGTGGGAATCTGTTCTCTCCTTTGATCCCCGGGATCAACCTCTGGTCACCCTTAGTGGCAAGCAGTCTTCCTTACCCACTGAGACAGCCCTATACTTACATTGTGTAACAGTCATCACCACCCACCTCTAGAACTTTCTCATCTTCCCAGTTGGAATTCTCTAGCTGATATATTTTTATTTATTTAATAAAGTTTCTCTGTGTAACAGCTCTGGCTGTCCTTGAATACGTGTAGACCAGGCTGGCCTCAAACTCACAGAAATCTGCCTGCCTCTGCCTTTTGAGTGCTGGAATTAAAGGCATGTACCACCACTGCCCATCTCTAGTTTATTTTTATATATAAAAAATAAAGATCTGGGGACTAGAGAGGTAGTTCATTTCTTGGTTAAGAGCACTTATTGCTCTTGTAGAGACCAGCATTTGGTACCTAGTACCCACATGGTGGTTCATAATCATCTATAACTCCAGTTCTAGGGCATCCTACACCATCTTCTTGACTCGGCTACACCAGGCGCCCATGTGGTACATACACATGCGTACAGACTAAACACTCAAACACTTCAAGAAATTTTTAAATAACATGAATTTTAAAAGGCTGAGACAACAACAACAACAACAACAAAAAACCCCAAAGAGTTGATCACGTGTTAACTGAAATATTGAAACTTCATTATCTTTCCTTATTCAGTGTAGTCTTTGGGGCTGGGTGTATATAGTTCAGTAGTGGAGTGTCTGTCTTGTATGTGTGTAGCATGGGTTTGATGCCTAACATCTCAGAACTAACTCTCTCTCTCTCTCTCTCTCTCTCTCTCTCTCTCTCTCTCTCTCTTCTCTGATAGTTTCAGTATAAGATAAATGGAAAAGTTGTGGAGGTGAAGGATGATGATTATACAAGAGTGTAAACATATGTAATGCCACTGAATTATACTTGAAAGTGGTTAAAACGGTAAATTTTATAGAAATTTAAAGAAAGCTGTGGTGCTTCTTAAGACCTTCTTACAGCTGATTGAAAAATTTGGACTTTGTTTCTCTGTGTAGCCCTGGCTATCCTAGAACTTGATTTGTAGACCAGGCTGGCTTCAACTCACAGAGATCTTCCTGCCTCTGCCTTTGAGTGTTGTGATTGAAGATGGATGCCACCACCATCCAGCCAAATTTTGACATTTTTATGCTAGAGAAAAACTCATACCATTTAAGCAAACTTGGATTTTCTAGTTTGAAACTCAGTTTTATTTTGGTTTTGTGAAACAGGATCTCATCTAGCCAGTCCAGCTTGGAACTAGAAATGTTGCGTAGGATGTCCTAAATTGATTGTTCCAAGAGCCAGAATTATTAGCATGTGCTACTATGCTTAGCTTAAAGCTTTTTAAATGTACTGCTTATATTCTGTAGCATACAAATATATCTAACTTAGAGAAGAATTGCAGAAGGTACTTCAGAAACCGTGAAGCATTCTGTTCTTTAAGACATAGCGACCAGAAGCATTTGTGTGAGCTGCTGCCTTCTTCGTGGTTGTTCTTTGAGGACTGGCTTTGAGCTGTAGAATCAATTCTTGATCCTGAAGAATATGTAAACATTGGGTACCAATATAGAGAACTTATCTTATAGTCATATCTCTGTGGTGTTTTTATTTCTAGTCAAACGCACCCTGTATTGTTTTCATTGATGAAATTGATGCTATTACCCCCAAAAGAGAAGTCGCTTCAAAAGATATGGAACGAAGAATTGTAGCCCAGCTTCTAACCTGCATGGATGGTCAGTTTAAAATAATGAGTTTATTTCAAGATAGTATATTTCTGAAAATAATGCAAGTCATACATGCATGTATGAACCATTTAAATAGTGAATCTCATAAAACAGTCTTTTTTGTAAAAGATTTTCCAGTCATTTCAAATTGTATTGAACTATGTGTGTATGTATGCATATATGTGGGTGCACATGTATGTGCCAGGAGTGTATTCATGTGTGTGTGAGAAGGGAGTTCAGAAGGCAATCTCAGATACAATTATTTAGGAGCCATCACTAGTTTAATTGGCTTGATGCTTGCCAAATGGGCCAGGCTGCCTGGCCGGTGAGCCCCAGGGGTCTGCCTGTTTCCACCTCCCCAGCACCGGGATTACAAGTGTGCCACGTTATATGCATTTTTTTTTTTTAAGTTGATGGGGAAAATGTCATTTATTTCTGTAAGTAATTGTGAAAGGAGAATTTTATACTGCAGTTACCAATTCCTGGCTGCTCATTCATCAGATTTTCATGATGGGGGTGGGGAGGGCATTTTTTTTTTTTTTTTAAGTGGGTTCTGGGAATTGAACTCAGGACTTCATACTTGCGAACCAAGCACTTTTCTAAACCTGAGCCATCTCCACATCTCCGTAGTAATTGAATACGCATTTACTAATATATTGTTTTGCTTTTGCTGTCTATGATTTCAGGGTTGCATAGTACCTACTGTTGTTCCTTAAGAGTATCTTTGGGAGAGAAATGTTAAAATTTTAATGCATTTATATTTATGTCTTAAAAAAATATTTTTACTTTTGGCCTGGTGTGGTGGCAGGTGCCTTTAATCCCAGCACTTAGGAACAGAGGTAGGTGGATCTGTAAGTTTGAGGCCAGCCCAGTCTACAGAGTAAATTCCAGGATAGCCAGAGCTACAAAGTGTCTCTATCCACCCTTCCACAAAAAAAATATTTTAAGTATGTGTATGTGTGGGGTGGTTTGTATGTGAGTGCATTGCCTGTGGAGGCCTTAAGATCCCTTTCAGTTACAGGTCATTTTGAGCCCCTAAGCCTGGGTAGTTGAAATCAAACTAGGGTCCCCTGGAAGAATAGTATGAGCTCTTAACTGCTGAGCCATCTCTCCAACCCTGTGTTTATCTCTTTTAACTGTTAGTAATATTCTTTAAGTTTACTATGCAAATTAGAACATTTTTACCAATGTTTCCATATAGAGTTTGAGGACAACCTGGGCTGTATAGTGAATTATAGTCCAGCTAGGGATATATCACGAAAACAAACAAAAACAAGAAAAGAAATAGCACATGTTTTGGTATCATATTCCTGTAATCTATTATCCAAGCGCATATAAAACTGGGACAGGATAATTGCCATGAGTTGTTATAGGCTAGACTGGGTTACATAGTGAATTTCAGGCCCAGCTTGGTCTACAGAGTGAGACCCCCCCGTCTCAAAACAAAACAGAAGAAAAAAGTACAAAAGGAAAGTTAATTTGAAATATCACATAACATAATATGTATTATGTTTCTTATGGTGCCAAATTACAAATCACTTGTGTTTTAACTTTTGTGCAGTGCCAGGGATTGACCCTGAATCTTGACGTGTGCTCTGAAAGCTCTCAGCCATTGAATTATACCCACAGTATGCTGTTTTATTTTCATCTTAATTTTGTTGCCATGTTTTTGAGGCCTCTACTCTTAAGAAAAGCTTTTCATAGATTCTTGCTAATCAAATAATAGATCCATTATTTACAATGTGCTTAGCATTTGAAACCATGTCATTTCCTGTAAGGCCGTGTAATCTAGACTCTCTCCTGTTTAATTCTGGTTCAGCTGACAGAATATTTACAAAAGATAAAACTGATAGAATACTTGGGAAAGATAAAATTTAAGCCCTGCATTCTGTTTATTCCTAAAAATCTATCCCTAAAGTAAGCCAGAGCTGCATGGGATGTTCTGTACCACTCTCTGGTTCTCCCTCATCCTTGTGAGCCAACATTGCTGTCTTCCTCACCCCCACTGCTGGACCGCTCACGTGGTCTGCCTGTGCATTGCATGTGCCCCTGTGTGCTTTCACTCATGCTGGTCTCCAGAACGCCAGTAACTTTAGCTTTGCTTATAGGAACCACCTTGCCCGTCAGGCTTTCCTGAAGTGTTTGTTTCTTTGAAGCCTCCATCATCCCCCTGCCTTGTTCTATTACAGTGTTCGATTTATTCTGATTGTTATTAAACTTCTTGAAACTTGTCTTATACTGTGTTTCCTTAATTATACACTTCTTATTCCTCAGTAGACCGAAGTGCTGGTAGAAAGGCAGTCACGCTTCCACTGTATTAGACAATAAATATTTTAAAGTATTTATATATCAAAGTACACAGATTCTCTCTAACCTTTAAATGACTTGGGTAAACATTGCTGTCCTCAAATGTCAGATGATTTGTCTCTCCTCTTTTATGTCTGTTTCTCACTAGATCTGAACAACATGGCAGCTACAGCTCGAGTCCTAGTTGTTGGAGCTACTAACCGACCAGACTCGTTGGATCCTGCCTTGAGACGTGCAGGAAGGTTTGACCGAGAAGTATGCCTGGGTATCCCTGATGAGGCTGCCAGAGAAAGGTATATTCTTATAGAATGGTGGTGTTTGCATGCCACTGTGCTAGCTGAGCCACGGGTTTTGAGAAGAATAGTAAGAACTACTATATAGTGTTCGTTCCGCTTTAGTGCGCTCTACCTCTCGTCTTTCCCTCGTCCCCCACCTCCCACCTCCCTGGTTGGGAGTTGAACTAAGAGCTCCAAATGTGTTGGCAAGCATCCCACCAATGAGCTGTATTTCCAGACTCTCTTCCCCTTTTCTCTCTCTAAGACTGGGGGAGGGGGGGGCCAATGCTTAACAAAACAACTCACTCATCAATAGGACATTTGTTTTAGGTTGTTCATTAGTGATAATCGTGTTTATTGATTGCTATTTGTCTGATATTCTTAATGGAATATGTTGTTTTTTGGGTTTTGTTTTTGTTTTTTTTGAGACAGGGTTTCTCCATGTAGTTTTGGTGCCTGTCCTGGATCTCGCTCTGTAGACCAGGCCAGCCTTGAACTCACAGAGATCTGCCTGGCTCTGCCTCCCGAGTGCTGGGATTAAAGGTGTGCGCCACCACCGCCCAGCTTTAATGGAGTATGTGTTTTAGTTGGCTCACCAGCTAAGGGGCAGTGTCTGTACCTCTGGAGTAGTGTGGTGCCATCTGGTCTACCAGTTAAGTCGGAGTACCATTTCACTAGTCTGCCCAAGGCTGTGGGTCTCATTAAAAAGATGCTAATGAAGGCTGCCTAGCGATTGGTGTGGAAAGAGCAAAGAACTTACACCAAGAACCAAAAAAGAATGGTAGCCAGAATGACTTAAGAAGTAACCTTAAGGTAGTGGAGTAAAATCTAGTGAATTAATGTTATAAACTGTTACATTTATAATGGTTTTTTGTGGTAGTTGTGATACTACAATAATTACTAGCTACTTTTAGGAAAAGTAATAAATAATGAAAGGAAATCATTGCCTTAGAGGGACGGGAAAGCGGAACAGGTGGAGAATGTGGTCAGAAAGCACTGTGTGTAGAAGGCTCAGCCATAGGTCTCTGCTGTCCTTTCCTTCTTCCCAAGGTTTGATGTCACGTCCTTTCTCCTTATTCACAGGGCGGTGGTGGTGCATGCCTGTAATCCCAGCACTCAGGAGGCAGAGGCAGGCGGATCTCTTGAGTTCAAGGCCAGTCTGGTCTACAGAGAGAGTTACAGGATAGGCTTCAAAGCTATACAGAGAAACTCTGTCTCGAAAAAGCTAAAATAAAATAAACAGTTTCTAAGATGTTGACTTCATAATTTGTATAGATAATAATTATGTTCATATGTATTCTTCAAACAGCTTGTTAATTATCAGTTTGTTTACTAATACTTTTATATCTCCAGCAAAATAATAATATTCATTATTTCATCTTTACTTATGAAGTGTAGAGCAGCTGAGCAAAGTGGTCCGTGCCTGTAATCTCAGAGCTATGAGTCAATGCAGAAAGTAATTCCAGCTTTGCTTCATAGTGTCCTCAAGCCAAGCTTTAATTTATATGAAAATAATTAAAAAGGTCGCTTACTTTATGTGTAAAATATTGACAGTGCTTTAGCGTTAGACTTGAGGAGATTGAATTAATGTAACTTAGCACAATGTCTTGACACAGAAAAAACTGAGCACTGAGAGTTGCACTCAGAATCTTGCACCAAGCTTCATGAGTGCTTTCTTTTTCACTGAACTTTGCCCCAGCCCTAGAAAAGAAGTTTTAGGGTAACTTGATAGTTTCCTTTTCCTTAAAAATCTTTCAAGATTTTATTTAATGTGTATAAGTATCTTGCCTGCATGTATGTCTGTGCACCACATGCATGCCTGATGCCCATGGAGATCAGAAGAGTGCATCAGATCTCCTGACCCTCAAACTCAGACCCACCTGCCTCTGCCTCCCGAGTGCTGGGATTTTAGGGGTGCGCCACCACCACCCCATTAGCACTCTTCCATGTTTATAATTGGTGCTTATATAACTCGTTTGTTTTCTACATTTTCTTTTTTTCTGAGGATTTTTTTCCTTCTGCATGTGTAATGTGTGTTTGTTCTGGTCTGTGTTATATTTATGTACCTGAGGAACTGGGAAGTAAATGCAAAATAACAGTACTTGGTGTGTAGTTAGTCTGATCAAGCTGTAGGAATATTGTCTTTTCTTCCCTTTCTCTCTTTCCCTCTTCCATCCCTCCTTCTCTTCACTTTTTTCATAGATTAAATATAAGTGTTGGATCTTTTTGGATTTTTTCAGAAAAGGGTCTGCAGACAGCACTGTGGTGCTCTAAGTCTGTACTGACCCTCTGATGGGAGCAAGCTGAGGAGGCTGAAGAACAATATGCACTGTAGACACTGACAGTCTGTTTTCCTAACATACTCACATTCGTAGCCCACAAACTTTGAACTTTGCACTTTCCTGGAATTCTGGTTGAAAGGGTGGAGTCCATGCCCACGTGTTGTTACTGTACTTATGCAGATTTTCAGGTGATTTTGTTTTTGACTTCGGTGCTGTATTTCTGGCCTACCAATTGACAGCGACAATTCTGAGTCTTTTGTGTTCCAGCAAGCAAATTGCCTTGCTTCTCATTATTACACTTCTTTGGGAAGAAGAGTTATTTATATTTTGTTTCCTCTACTGAGTTGTTTACTACTTTCTATTCATCTTCTTTCTTCATAATTTGTGTCAGGATTACAGACAATCACACACTTATTAATTTATATATATTTATATATATATAATGTATATAAAATTTAAATATATTTATAATGTATAAATCAGTACTTCAATAAATAAGAAAGAATATACAGAAAAGTGCGAGGAGGCGAGCAGATACCTGTGAGTTCAAGCCTAGCCTGAGCTAGTGCTGGGCTAGCCAGGGTTACAATCTTATACAAGTATGAGCACTTCTCTGCATATAATCCATCCTAAAGGCTACAGGCTTAGGAAATGGTAGTACTTTAAAGGGCTTTTAAAAATAAAGTCTAGCTCCATTTAGATGTCATTTTAAAAAATTGAAAAACCAAAATTAGAAGCTGCTTGTGGGGGGCTGGAGAAATGGCTCAGCAGTTAATAGCACTGGCTGCTCTTCCAGAGAACCCAGATTCAGTTACTAGTACCTACATGGCAGCTCACAACTGCCTGTAACTCCAAGATCTGACACCCTTACACAGACATGCATGCAGGCAAAACACCAATGCACATAAAATAAAAATAATAAATTGTAATATAAATTATAAGAAAGAAAAGAAGCTGGGTGTAGTGTCATGTACCTGCACCTCAGGTTCTTCTATTGAGGAAGCTGAGGCAGGAAGATCACTTGAGCTGAGGACTCAATTAGCCAAGACAACATGAGAAGAACCCCCATCTCTTAAAATAAATGACATTGACACATATCATATTGTCAGTTGGCCCTAACAGATTTTTTTACATGTACAGTATAGGGTCTGAAAACAGGAAATGATGTTAGCCGATCATGGTGGCATGCATCTGTAATCCTAGTACTTGGGAGGTAGAGGCAGGAGGATCAAGAGTTCAAGGCCATCCTCCACTATAGACAGAGTTTAAGACCACCTTGAGTTGCATGAGACCCTGTCTCAAAATCCAAACCCCTGCAATATTGGATGTTTGAAATATCAAGATAAATATCATTATGAAAACTTCATTTTGTATAATGAATTATGCCTGCAAAAGATGACTTTTAGAGCTTGACATGAAGAAACATGGCTTTAATTCCAGTTTAGAGGCAGTCTGTGAGTTTAAGGTTAGCCTGTTGTACATATATAAGTTACAGTCCAACAAAAGCTACACACTAAAACCCTGTTTTAAGGGGAAAAAACAAACTTTTGGTGCTAAATAGAAGTATGATTTGAATGTGGAAGTTTCTTTTTCTGATAAGCACATGTTTTATTTGCTCTGAAAGTATCCCCACAAGCTATTTCCTCTACAATATTGGGAAACACTTAAAAGTGAATTTAAAAGAAAACAATAACAACAACAACAAAAAACTGCTTATATTCTTCATAATGCATAGATAGCATAGTTCCCAATAAGCAGATATTTGGCATAAGCTTTTCTGAATAAAGTTGGGCATGTGGTAGTGACTAAGCATTTACTGAGTGAATGATTTGTTTCATCTTATATAGCATTTATTATGATACCATCAATAGGGATTAATATAGTATGATATTTCAAATAAATACAGTTAGGAATTTGCTTTTACTGTTAGACTTGGAGTCTAAATGTTTTAAACTGTCGTTTCTACAGAATACTTCAAACTTTGTGCCGAAAACTGAGACTTCCGGAAACTTTTAATTTTTGTCACTTAGCACACCTAACTCCGGGCTTTGTCGGTGCTGATCTGATGGCACTTTGCCGAGAGGCAGCCATGTGTGCAGTCAATAGGGTCTTGATGAAGCAACAGGAGCAGCAGAAGAGTCCTGAGATGGAAGCTTTGCCCCCTGAAGGAGGCCAGGAGGAGAGGCAGGGGACCGAGCCCACTTCTGGAACCCAGGTGCTCTCCAGTGCTCTTGCTCTCTCTCTTTATTTTATCGTTATTATTTTTCAAGACAGGGTTCCTCTGTAACAGCCCTAGCCGTCCTGGAACTCGCTCTGTAGACCAGGCTGGCCTCAAACTCACAGAGATCCACTAATGCCCATCATAAGGAAGGTTTTCTCATCTAAAAATATAGTCACAGATATGCTAGAAATACTTAAAATTTCCCAATTTCCAGTTAGATAACTGTATTTTCATGCACAGACTAGCAAATGCTGTAAACTTTCTGTCAGTTCAAGATGCATTTTATGGGCTTTACCACATGATTCTATTAAGTAGGGCTGTATTTTATTTCATTTTTATTGTAGATTTTATTGTTTTATGTGTATGAGTGTTTGCCTACGTGTGTATATGTGCAGGCATGTGTGCTTATTGCCCACAGAAGTCAGAAGAGAGCTTCTGATCCCCTAGGACTGGGGTCACAAATGGTTGTAAGCCACTTGTTGGTGCTGGGAATTGATCCCAGGTCCTCCATGAGAGTAGTAAGTATTAACCACTGAACCAGCTCTCCAGCCCGAGAGCCATATTTTAAAACTTACTTTGTTCAATTTAACTTTAATATGAATTTAGGTCAAACTTGGGGCTTACTTTAATCCAAGTTTGACTTCTTTATTATTAGTAAGTATTTATTAGGAATGCTTCTAAGTGCTAGATACAACAATGAAAAATCAAGTTCTGCATTTAAAGACCTTGGTAGAATGAGACTACAGAGAAATAAAAGAGCACTATAAATATCAGAATTTATTGAATAATAATACATTCGCAAGGTATGGTGTGGGTTTTTTGATTTGTTTTTTGGCTTGTTTGTTTTTTGTTTTTTTTTTTTTTTTTAATTTATGTGTACAAATGTTAGCTTGCATGTATATCTATGCACTATATTCATGCCTGGTATCTGAGGAGACCAGAAGAGGACATTGGATCCCTTGGAACTGGAGTTACAGACAGTTGTGAGTTGCCATGTAGGTGCTGGGAATTGAACTTGGGTCCTGGAATAGTAGCCAGTGTTTAGCCATCTCTCCAGCTCCAGTGTGGTGGTTTTAATGGCAGCAGTTTGCTGCATAATCTTCCCTACCTTGATAAACTGGCTGAGTCAAGCATACGTTCTTTATTTTAATCTTAGTTACTAGTATTACCTTTCCTAGCACAAAGAGCACAGTAAATATACCAGTATCATAGACAGATATGTATACATGGTGGTTATAGAATGAATAAAGAGGTAAAACAGGGGCTAGAGAGATGATGGCTCACTGGTAAAGAGCTCTTCCAGAGGATCTGGGTTCAAATCCCAGAACCCATATGGCAACTCTCAATTGTCCATAACTTCAGTCCCTGAAGATCCAAGACCCTCTTCTGGCCTCTGTGGGCACCAGACATAACACATGGTACACACACTTACATGTAGGCAGAACACCTATCCACATGAATTAATCAAAGAAATTTTCCCAGGCAGTGGTGGTGCACATGTTTAATCCCAGCACTCAGGGAGGCAGAAGCAGAGATCTCTGTGAGTTCAAGTCCAGCCTGGTCTACAGATCAAGTTCCAGGACAGCCAGGGCTACACAGAGAAACCCTGTCTTGGGGTTGGGAATGAGGATGGGGGTTTGTTTCTATCCCTTAATGTTCTTCACAAAGCAAGAAATCTGCCTTTGAAGTTTAAGATTCATTGGCCTAGGAAAGTTGCCTACTGTGTATTTGATTGGTAAGGCATTAGCGAACCTTATAATGAATTTATATTGTTGCCACAGTAACTTTTCTTAAGTCAGCTGTTTTATGAATATATAGAAATGAATTGATGAAATGGATACTGGCCAACTGCCTCTGTTTGCATTATCTAACCCTAGTTTAAGCTTTAGAAATGTATTTAATATAAAATTAATCGCGTCTCTCTCCCTCTCTCTGACTGTGTTGGCCTCCAAACATATATTCGCTGAGGATGACTTTGAGTGGCATGGGCCACTAATATTGTCCTGGAAATTATATTTATATATCTTGATTATAATAGATTTATATTTATTTAACCAAATATAGGATCTACTTAGAATGAATTAATATATCTTAGGTAAAGGAGAAATTATTACAATACATAGAAGTTCATTAAATTCAGTATAACTTAGGGAATCTTGGAATAATTATTTAAATTATATGTAACTTGGTGGTTCACACTTTTTCCCTTTAACTGTTGTCTTAAAGGATGAATTGCAAAGGCTGTTGAGGTTGCTAAGAGACCAAGATCCCCTCTCACAAGAACAGATGCAAGGACTTTGCATTGAATTAAATGATTTCATTGTTGCTCTAGCGGAAGTCCAGCCTTCTGCCAAAAGGGAAGGCTTTGTAACTGTCCCTAATGTGACATGGGCCGATATTGGTGCCCTGGAAGATATTAGAGAAGAGCTCATAATGGCAATATTGGTAGGTATATCCGCTATCAGTGTCATTGGCATTGGTCATGAGTTAAGATCTAGGAAAAAAACCTGCAAGTATGTCTACCAGATTATATTATTTAAAAAAAATTTACTAATTCTTTATTTTATGTGTATGAGTGTTTTGCCTGTATGTGTATGTGGGTACGTGTACATGCCTAGTACTGGCAGAGGTCAGAAAGTATCAGATCCTCTGGAACTAGGTTTATAGATTGTTGAGAATCACCTCTTGTGGGTGCTGGGAAATGAACCCAGGTTCTCTGCAAGAGCAATAAATGCTCTTAACCACAGAGCCATCTCTGTTGCCCCCGAATACATCTTTTAAAGTACAGTTTTACTGAGGTACAATTCAAATATTATAATAGGAAATTTAGCCTCTGTTGTCCTCTTTTTTAAGTCTAAATGTTCCACCAATGAGATGCTTTTCTCTTGAGACATTTCATGCTCATTATTTTGGTTATGTTTGGTTACTATATAGTGAGTTAAAAAAAAAAAAACAGGTTTCATTCAAGACCAATTTATGTAAAAACCACCTTCTTGCCTCTTGATTCAGGAGAATCAAGGCAGTTTTGACACCCTTGAAACTGTGGATTGATCTTAGTTTACTTTTACTTTTCTGCTTTCTGGCCACTCTAATTGAATTATGATCCATTTAAGAGGTGTGTACTCCCAAAAGTGAAAGTAACCAGGATTGCAGAGAACAGGCATGTGTGGCATTTGACCGTGTGCAGGGTCTGCTTGTCTCGGGATTTCCTGGAGAACGCTGTACCTGGACTTTAGAAATTTGGTTGATTTTCTAAAACTTGATTTTAATATATTGAAATAGTTTATCTTGGCCTTGGGGGGAAGAGCTCAGTGGGTAAAGCCTTTGCAACGCAAAGGTAAGGACCTATGTTTGTATCCCCAGAAGCCATGTTAAACCAGGTGCAGTAGTGAGTGTCTGTAACCACAACACTCCAAGAGGGAGACTGGAAGTAGGAACAGGACGGGCCTGCTAGGTATACACAACAGAAAAACAAGAGACCCTGACTCAAAGAAGGTGAAAGGCAAGGATGCACACAAGAGTTTGTCCTGTGATCTATGTACATTGGCACACATAATATAAAAATAATGAAATATTGTATTTTTTGCCTAATATGTTTTCATAATTTACATGTATGTATAAATTCCTTAAGAACAGTGACTTTGGCTTGATGCGGTAGTACACACCTGTAATCATGTTCTTAGGAGATAGAGACGGGCGGATCTTTGAGCTTGAGACCAACCTGGTCTACATACCGAGATCCAGGCTAACCAGGAGTACATAGTGTGACCCTGTTTCAAAAAAGAAAAAAGAGAGCCTTTCCCATTTGTCACCATGTACCTGATGTCTCAAACAAGGGTCAGCCAGGCATTGCTGTGTTCAGGCCTCATGGTCAGGGTTGAGTATAAAAGATGAGAAACATTTGAACATTCAGTGTAAAGTGGGCACCAGTGATGGATCACTGTTGGCATTGTTTCTTCTAGGCACCGGTACGTAACCCAGACCAGTTCAGAACTCTTGGTTTGGTGACTCCAGCTGGCATCCTCCTAGCTGGTCCTCCTGGATGTGGAAAAACTCTGCTAGCAAAGGTACGGTACAAGTTCAACTACATGCATTGCGTGTCTTGCCTTCAGTTGGATAATAAAGGTTTAAGTATATCATGAAATAAATCCTTTGTA